CTGAGGGAAGTGGAGGGAAGATGGCTTTTACCAGCGGAGCTCTGTCCCGTTGCTTTGCATGCTCAGCCCTCTGCTGGGTCATGCTGATGACACATTTCCCCCTGTTGACAATTATGCATCACTTTGCAATGTCTGATGATCTCTGGGCAACACTCGTGTGTCAGTTTTCTGTCAGTCATAAAAAGTGGAGATGATCATAACCTCGTTAGGAAAAGGGAACCGACTTGTGCAGCTAGAACAGCCCTGGGTTCTGCTCTTAATCCAGATTAAGGGTTTGTCTTGCTGGGGAGGCGTGTGTGTGCATGTAAACTACTATGGCCTTTGCACAATGAGTGTGTCCCCACAAGGAGCTATCACAGAACAGCTCTTCGTGGGGAAAGCAAGCCCTAAGCTCTTTGACGCCGATGTTACGGATTTACATTGGTGCAACGGAGGCTTTGTCTACACTTAACAGGGGAAGGTGCAGCCGCAGCGGCGCTTGACACTGAAAGTGTGGCTATGGCACAGGCGCTGGGAGAGTATCACAGAACACTGGAACTGGCAGAGACCTCGGGAGTCATCGAGTCCAGCCCGCAGCAGGACCAACCACCCTCTAGGCCGTCCCTGACAGGCGTCTGTCCAGCCTGCTCTTCGGTATCTGCAGTGGTGGAGATTCCACAACCCCCCTTGGCAGTCTATGGGCGGGGGGCTCCTCCTGGGCACCAGTTAATCAGCACCTGGGAAGGCTGATGCTTACCGGGTCACCGGTGAACTGCTGCCTGTTCACGTCCCTCCTTTGCACGCACCCCACGGCTGTATCTAGGCCCACGAACCGCCATTCGCACTCTCCTCTGGGCATCTGCGGTAACAGCCCTTACTCTCATCCCCCGCGGAGCTGCTTGGCCAGGGTGCCTGCTGCTCTGCTGGGTGAGCACCGGTCTGGGTGGATCTTTCTGCTAGCACCAGTCGTGTCTGAGCAGTCCCTATGCGAGCAGCCCCTCCAGGAGTCCGTGAGCTTTGACAGTCTGAGCGTATCGCTGCTGTTCCACGGCTCCCCGGCAGTCGAGCTGCTTTTCCTCCGTCCGGACAGTGGCAGAGACGAGAACGATACCTACCAGGTATCACGGCCACTTGCCGTCCCGTTCTCTGCTCTGCAGCCTTCATGACTGTCCAGTGGACAGCTGTGGGCTTGCTGAGGGGCCTGGACATCCTGCACCCTCAGAGCTGCAGGCCAGCTTTGGTCTCAGCTGCTCCGTGCCAGT